TCATTGTCTGTGACCCATTAATGTCTTTTATCTGCTACTATGATAATGTCAAATGATTACTTTGGTCATCTGCAACTTAACACCAATCTTATCCATTTGATTGAAAGGATGGTTTGACTTTCTCTTTGAACAATATTAGCATCATTTTGCACTTAATTCTGAAATTCATTGACCTCAATGTGCAAACTGTCTTCTTTACTATTTATTGTAAATAACCTTATTTTTTAATTTGTTGTAATCACACATCAAGAAAGTAGGCCTGGGGAGATGTGTTTGTGAAACATTTATCCCTATGGTTCTGCTTTAACAGGAATACTTACCGGTAGCTAAATGCCTCATTTTAGTTTAAATAATCTGTAATACTAAGTCAGTTTATCACACTGTGGGTAATTTTTTTAAAAAGGATTCTGACAATATGCTTCTTATTGTAGTCATTCAGCCATTATCTGAGAACAATGTTTTTATGACAGTAAAATTTTTTTTTGTACAAGTAGGATAAAAATTCATATATTGTCATGTGCTAATATGAAGTCTATCCTTACATCTCCCACTCTCCACCCCATGCACCATCTAGTGGCCAGAATGCTGTAATCATGGGAAGGAATAAAGCGCTGACGCTATGCAGTCCTTACCCCCACCATTGCCTCTTCCTTTGCATTAAAAAAGAAAGAAGGAAGGGAGGGAGGGAGCGAGGGAGGGAGGGAGGGAGCGAGGGAGGGAGGGAGGGAGGGAATACAGTGAAATAATAAATGCTAAATTTTGGCTCAGATTATTTTAATTAGAAATAGAAGTTTAATGATAAATACTTTGTATTCTTCAAATCCAAAAGGAAAAATATCCTGTTCAATTCCTTTGGTGCTCTTATTGACTGTAGAACATTACAGCATCTCATTTGTCATATGCAGAGTTCATTCTTTTTGAATATACTTCACATAGGATGTAGATTTCTGTAACATTTCCTATTACTTTGAAAAAAGTAGCCATAGTGTACATTTAAAAATACTACCACATTCTTGGTCAGCTCATACCTTTCAAATATAATATAAAGATGATATTAATATATATATAAGAATAGAAAAGAATTTCTTTGCCCTACATATTTCTCAGTTTATTATATAATGCTAGGAAATAACTCTCTGATACATAACACACTTGGCAAATTTTACTGTTTTATGCTTTAAAAGAAAAAGTCAAACTTAGTGAATTTTTTGAAATGCATCATACAAGCTCTGATTTGCAAATTACCAAATTGATCTTATCTTCTGTACTAAATGATGACCTAAATTAGTCTACACTTTGAGTGTTTTTGTTCTTTGATTAAAATCATCATCGTTAAGATAATTAATGGCAGAAGGCCGTGATTACATGCTTTTCTTATTTTAATTCTGGTCGTACGAAAATGTTTCCTTTTTGACTTACTGTCATCATCAAACACTCTCTCTTAAATCAATATATTATGGATTACAACTTGTGTTTGTAAGATTTATTTGCCTTTTTTAGCTGTGATAGGAGAATTTACCACCTTATTTTGATCCTGTTAGTTTACACTCATTAGTATAAGGGGGATAACAGGTTTAATAGTCAGCATTTTATAAATCTTCCAGAAGATGTGGATAAATCATTTCACTAGAGGCCTACTGCTCAATTTATTGCCACTTTAAAGTTGCCAAAAATAATCATCTCGTCCTCCTATTTTAATGTAAGGTATCGTCAATGTTTGAAATGTGTCAAGAATTGTTTTTGATAGTTCTAGTGAATAATTAATTGACTGATTTTAATTTATGTTTCTAAATCATATTATTTATTTCATTAGTTAATTATTGCTTGTGAACTATATTATAGTCAACTTTAAATTAGTATCAATAAACATTTTTGAGATGATGTAGTACCAATAAATCCATAAATTAAACAATTAAAGCATTAAATAAATATCTACTATGTAAGCATTCAATTTTATATAATGATTATCTAGGTCAGTGTACCCAAAATTGTGTGCTAGCCAAACTACAATTAAATCATCATGGTAATTCCAAGGCTTAAAATGATTGACTATGTCTGTTAAAAAAGAGTAGCTTAAAATTCATTAAATTACTTTGTTATGTTTTTTACTTATTATACCATGAACAGTTCACATGTTCTTTTTTATAAAGGCCTTGGAAGCCAAATTTTAATTGCTATATGGTATCATTTTGTATACTGTAATCTATTGAGTAATTTCCCTTTTGTTGGATATACAATTAGTAGCACATTACAGTTACTGAATTTTTACATCTTAGTTTACTGGTTCAAAGGCTATGAATTTTTAAGAATATATGTATTATATATTTTTTATATATGTGTAAATATGTCTACACAATGTATATATGTGTATTTGTTATATAGTAGCAATATATATGCTTAGTTTACTCCTTTTCTGAATATTCAACATTATTAATTTGTAAATATAATAGGCAATAGTAGTATCTTGTCATAGTTGATATTGAATTTCTTTTACTTCCAATATAGTTAAATTTCTTTCCATAGATCTATTTATTTTGTAAGTTGTTCTTAGTCTTCCCTCAATTTTTTACTAGGGTTGGGATTCTTTCGAATTTGTAAGAACCCTTACTGTCCTGAAGATATTATTCTTTACCTACGGTTTACTACAGATACTTTACCGATGTGACATTTATGCAAATACTCTGAAGTTTTATATAGCCAGATCAATTGTCCTTTTGTGTAATAAAAAAAATCTTTAAAAAAAGATTTAGATTTCTTTAAATTTTTTTATTTCCCAAGATAGGTTGAATATTTGCCTGGATTTTATTCTATTTTATATTTACAGGTTTGTCTTTTTAAAAATTTGTCTTTTAAATTTATAATTAATATTAGCATTTAATATAAGGTTAGGCTCTAATTATTTTTTCCCCTAAAAGTCCATTTTTCTTTTTCTTTTTCTTTTTCTTTTTTTTTTTTTTTTGTGAGACAGGGTCTCACTCTGTCGCCCAGGCTGGAGTGCAGCAGTGCAATCTCAGCTCACTGCAATCTTGGCCTTTGAGGTTCAAGCAATTCTCCTGCCTCAACCTCCCAAGAAAGTGGGAGTATAGGCATGCCACACCACGCCCACCTAATTTTTGTATTTTTAGTAGAGAAGGTGTTTCACCATGTTGGCCAGGCTGGTCACAAACTCCTTTTTTTCATTAGTTGAATAATTTATCAAATACAAAATATTTTTGGTATTTTCTTTTTTATATTTTGTTGGTACACATACGTATATTTATTCCAAATTATTTCATTCATTTGCATTTTAATACTAAACAATTATCCCAAAATTTGGTTAAATTTTACAATATATTTTAACAACCAGAAAGGTATTTTCATCACTTGTAACATTTTCTAATGGATTCTTTTTTTTTCTGAGATGGAGTCTTACTTTGTCTCCCAGGCTGGAGTGCAGTGGCGCAATCTTGGCTCACTGCAACCTCTGCCTCCCAGGTTCAAGCAATTCCCCCACCTCCACCTCCCAAGTAGCTGGGGCTACAGGTGCACACCACCATGCCTGGCTAATTTTTGTACTTTTAGTAGAGACAGCGTCTGGTCTCGAACTCCTCACCACAGGTAATCTGCCCGCCTTGGCTTCCCAAAGTGCTAGGATTACAGGCATGAGCCACTGTGCCTGGACCTCTAATGAGTTCTTTTTTATTGTATATACTTGAGGTGTACAACATGATGTTTTGATGTATATTTACAATGTAAAATAATTACTAAGGTCAAGTGAATTAACATCTCTCATAGTTTTAACTTTCTTTGTGTCTGGTGAAATCACCTAAAATGTACCCTCTTAGCAAACTTCAGCACACCGTATAACATCATGAGCTATAGTTCTCATGTTCTCCATTGTATCGCTACACTTACTCATCTGACAACTGATTATATATGCGTATACTCTCCAATGAAATTTATGTTTTTTAAAAATTAAAAATACTATTAGCTTTTGATTGAAATCTAGTTAAACCTGAAATCTAGTTAAATTTGTTTGAGTAGAACTGAGCACTCAATAGTTTATAGAATTAAGTCTTCTTTACTAGTAGCACTGTATGTCCATCAGTAAATTTTTACCATTTTCTATATATGGTTATCAAACATTTCTTGATAATGTTCAAAGGCATATTATTTTTGTTGCTATTGTGAACAGTTGTTTGTTGTTAAGTCTACTTAGGAGTCATTGCTGTTATACACAAAAGCTAATAATGTACATAAATTCATTTATAGTCCATCTTGTTGTGCTAGCTTATTAGTTGTAGATACTTCTTCAGTTGGTACTGATGAGTAATGAGATTACTGACAGATGAATGGAGTTTCATTTCTCTCAGTCAATATCTTGTATTTCCTTAATATTCTTAACGTTAAATGTTATTTTCAATAAGTAAATATTATTCTTTGTAAGCTAGGTAGCTCAGGGCTATTACCACCATAGGAATAACGTGATAATATTTTGTAGGTTATTATTGAAAGTCTACATTTTGTGACTATGTGGGCATATTTCACATTAAATATTTAATAATTTTACTCTTTAGAACTTTCAAGATTTTTACAGTTTTGAAGGAGGATTAAAAATTATTGAACTAATTTGGCCTTCTGGTTCTTATAATTTGTGGCACCAGGTTTAACGATAGTAGTAATTTACCCAGAATATTTTCTTGAGAAGCGAAAGGCTTAATAACATGCAAATAAAGCTATACATGGTTTAACATCTATCTAGGATGTTCCTGACAGAGCTATACAGTAGCTTATTTTATCACACAGTGTTATTAAAATACTCTCAAAATGATTAGAAGTTGAAATATTAGCTATCAAACTAGGAGTTTGCTACTAATTTAGGCGTGTTAATTTATTCATGATAGCTATTTAATATATTACTAATAAAGATCGGAAAAACCTGATTATTCTTTAAAATAAAGAAGAAAAGTGTTTGTTAGGTAAAATAATCATTTAACTTATTGTAATTATCATCTTTACAGCTCATGGGGCATTCAGAATGGGACCACAAACGAGGGTCAAGAGGATCTCAGGTAAGTTTATTTTCCTTTTCTTTTTCATGTTTTGTTTCTTAACACTTTCAGCCATGGGTTTCCTAAAACTCAAGATATGATAAAAAGTAGAGAGAGTAAGAGGCGAAATAACCATGCCATTTGTTTTTATTTAAGTTAACTGTAATTAAAATCTGGATTTCAAATCCCAAAGGCAGATGCCAGAATATTCCTCCTCAGAGCTTTCTGGTATCCCAGATTGGTTTATAGATTTTATATTCATCTTGTCTCTGCAGAATACATTTTGATCAGCAACCCACTCTCTTTATGCATTTCCTTTGACAATTTTTCTGTGTATTTTGTTTTTTTCTTCAGCTTCCTGTTTTTGGTTAAATATTTTGAAATATAATCAGACTAAACTCTGAACTAATTACAAGATTTTGTCTCTAAATTAACTCTCTTCATTTGAGGGAAACAGAAAGATGAAAGGACCTATTATTTTTGAAAAGAAACAAATTCTAAATCTTTCTATATTACTAGACTGTTTTCATTGTCTTACTTTATGTCTTAGGCAAGGAGAAAAGCTTCCATGACGCATTTATGCTTTTTAATGACCTAATTAGACAATGTGGATTTGTTTTGCTTCCATAATTACTGTCCCTGACAGAATAAAGACGGAGCTTTACACTAAGAATATTATTTCTTCTCCTAGAGCACTTTGTGAAGAAATATAAAAATAATTCCTCTCATGGCAGCCTATGGTTACCTGACTGTAAACATGCAAAATAAAAATTAAGTAGGTGGAAATTTTTGCTTCTGTTGCACACATTTTGTATTTGCTACTAAAAAATACATAATTTACAAAAGGCAGTTGAATGTGCAATACTTTAAATGAAAGTTCATTGGAAAGTGGGGGCTTCTCCCAAGTGTTTTACAAAGGTGATGTGTTCTTGTGTTGTCATTAAATTTGTATGAATAACTCTATGTAATTTAGTTCACTAGAAAAATAAAACGAAGTCAATCAATTGTTTTAGTTCACATTTTAATGACTGATTTTATTTCTGTCCATCATCAATTTGATTAGTAAATAATGTAAACCAATTAAATTAGGATCATCTAAAAGAATTTATGCCTTACTTCTTTTCCCTCACTCTCACCTCCCCTTCAGTTTCTCTGAAAACTCTCCCTCTGTACACATCTATAAAATTTTAAATCAGAATTTGCTGCAAGGTCAGTAATGAAGGGATTAAATTAACATAGAGTAAATTCTTTGTGATTCTAAGCCAGTAAAAAAGTAAAGATAACTGCAAGTAACAAGGTCCATGGTCTCTGATGATTACTACCAAAACATTTTGATATTCAAAACATGCCAAGCAAGTTGTTGAGGACATGTCTCTTCAAAGCAATGTAGTGTTATAGATAGAAAATTATTGTTTAAGATATACGTCATTTAGTCTCTATTTTGCTTTGGTATAATTTATCTTCAGGTTTAGATTGGTCACTATGTCAGTATAAATTGTCAAAAAAAAAAAAAAAAAAACCCTCACAATTGTACAGTATTGTTTTTGTTAGCTTTCAGCATAAAAAGAACAAAATTTTTTAAATTCCAAATAATGCATATAGCTAGAATATGTGAGAATTCCACATATAAACATAAACTATTTTCATAAATGAAGTTTGATTACATTTGAAAGCCTGAGGTGGTTCTAAAAAGCAAAACCATTAAAATAGTCTTGCATGAATTACCATTATAAACAGCAAGTCTTTTTTGGATCTCTTAACCAGCAAAATAGCTATTCTAAATATAGTATACCTTTGTCCCATTTTGATTCCTCAACTCAGATGCAAACTGTCAAAGTAAAAAATAAACACAACACCATCCTGGCTAGCATGGTGAAACCCCGTCTCTACTAAAAAATACGAAAAACTAGCCGGGCGAGGTGGCGGGCGCCTGTAGTCCCAGCTACTCGGGAGGCTGAGGCAGGAGAATGGCATAAACCTGGGAGGCGGAGCTTGCAGTGAGCTGAGATTCGGCCACTGCACTCCAGCCTGGGCGACAGAGTGAGACTCCGTCTCAAAAATAAAAATAAAAATAAAAAAATAAACACAACACACCAAAAAGATAAGAACAATAAGAACCATAGCAGAAAATGTTAAAAAGAACGAGAATTTCCAAAGAATTTGGAAATTGCCGGTAGATAAATTAAGCCTTGAGTAATAACCTCTTATCTGATTTCAATTCCCTACTGACAAAATAATAATAATAATAATAACAATAATAATGTGTTCATGTTTTGAATAATTGATCTCTTCTTTAATTGTATTATCTCCTTGGTCAATATGTCTAAAGCCTTCCAGCTTTTCAAGGGGAACTTCAGACAAATTGCACTTGAACACAGACCTCTTAATAGTTTACTCCAAAGCCTTGCTCAAGTTCCATCTTAGTTAATTTAGAACTGGTTTCTAAGCACTTGCTGTGTTTACAGCACTGTGGTGGGTCTAACTGAAGAAAACTTGAAAGACAAGGTTACTGCTTTCCAAGAGCTCACAAATTATGGTTGGAAATAGAGTAATATTTGTATACATAATTCACATATAAGGCAATCTGGTAGATGCAACATTACGTAGAGTATGTGGTGCATGATGACGTATCTGTGAATGACAGTATGTATGATGGTGGTCAGATAAAATTATAATGCCATGTTTTTACTACGCCTTTTCTATGTTTAGATCAAATAGCATTTGGTACAATTGCCTACACTTTTCAGCACAGTAACATGCTGCACAGATTTGTAATCCAGGAGCAACAGGCTATAATATATAGCCTAGGTGTGTAATAGGCTATACCATCTGGTTTGTGTAAGTATACTCTATGATGTTCCCACAACAAAATCCCCATCATTAAATGACATATATACAAAGTGTGATAAGACTATATATATACCTTGGGAGGCCGAGGCGAGGCAGGCAGATCACCAGAAGTCAGGAGTTCGGGACCAGCCTTTCCAACATGGTGAAACCCCGTCTCTAGTAAAAATAATAAAAAATAATAATAATAATGAGCCAGGCATGATGGTGGGTGCCTGTAATCCCAGATACTCGGGAGGTTGAGACAGGAGAATCTCTTGAATCCCGGAGGTGGAGGTTGCAGTGAGTCAAGATTGTGCCACTGCATCCAGCCTGGGCAACAGAATGAGACTCCATATCAAAAAATAAAATAAAAAAAGACTGCATATATACAAAGTGAGATAGGATTTAGGTGGAGGAGTATTTCTTACTCCCTAGTAGACTAGGAAATACCTCTGAGAAGTGATGGTATCTGAGGTGTGGCTTTAAGGATGGATAAACTTTCAAAAGTACAGAGGAAAAGGTGGATGAAAAAGCTTTAGTAAAAGTCTGAACTGAGAGGAGTGTGGGACACATTTGAATATATGTGAATTTTTTATAACTTCTGTATAAATACTTGTGGATGGCAACTCTTACAGCAATTACTGTGAAGGAATAATCTGGATAATGCTATACTTTATTGACTAGATAGGCAGAGGAAGATAAGAGGGTCAAGAGTTTGAAACTGAGTACTATAAGAATTAGGACCATTAACACAGAGCAGTTTAGGTGGAAGATGATGAGTTCAGGGTTAGCAATATTAAGTGATAAGTGAAGATGACAATTCCAAAACGAAGTTACAGACACATACTCGAGGCCTGATTAGAACAAAAGGTGTCAGTTTGGGAATGCTAATCTTACAGGAGATAATTGAGCTCCACCAGTAGATAGACTCCCAGAAGAAAATTAAAAGAAAAAACAGAAAAAAAGTCTGATTCTAGTAAAGACTAGAAACAAGCTGAGTTAATATGAGTACGCATGGTCTTACTAGAGACCAGGGGGAGGAGAGATGATTCAGAACCAAAAGTTCTGAATAAGGACTTAAGGAGAGGAATAAGATCACAGACCAAGGTTCAGGAAAATTAAAATGTAGCAGATGTCTTTGGGTTTAGTGATTAGGAGGACATTAGTGAACTTTCAAAAAACAGTTTTGAGAAAGAAGTAGTGGAAAGAAAAATACAGAAGAGAAAAGTGTAAGATACCAGAAGAGTCTCTTGGAAGAGCTTTGTTTTAAAAGAAAGTTGGGATTGCAGCAAGAGGTGGCAGCAAGAGTGATTTATTTATTTAGTTAGTTAGTTATTTTTAATGCTAAGGTAAGATATGTGTCTTAATTACTGGCAGATGTAAAGAATTAGTATGGAAAAGAAAACACTGAAAATTCTCAATAGTGAGCTGATTCAGGACTCATTATTGGTGAAGGTTCAGGGAAGGGAATGTGCTTTCTTCCAGAGTGGTCCTTTTGGCACTTCTTTATGTATTTTCCTCACAGGAGACCCACCCCCACCCCTACCCCATATCAGCCATTTACACTACATCACAGAAACTGGCGCTGTTTGCAAATGAAATACTGGATAAATTCACCGAAAAGTACAGATGGGGAAGCTTTGAAAAGAAAGTAGAGGCCAGGGGCAGTGGCTCATGCTTGTAATCCCAGCACTTTGGGAGGCCAAAGCAGGTGGCACCTGAGGTCAGGAGTTTGAGACCAGCCTGACCAACATGGTGAAACCCCACCTCTGCTAAAGATACAAAAATTAGCCAGGCATGATGGCATGCGACTGTAGTCTCAGCTGCTCGGGAGACTGAGACAGGAGAATAGCTTGAGCCTGGGAGGCAGAGAGGCAGAGGTTGCAGTGAGCCAAGATTGCGCCACTGCACTCCAGCCTGCAAGAAAGAGCCAGACTCTGTCTCAAAAAAAAAAAAAGTAGAAATATTTCTAGCAGAATGAGAGAGAGAGAGAGAAAGAAATAAGGACAGATACTGTCATATTAAAAAGATATTATGAACCTATTGACTTCAATTTTCTTGGTAGGATTGAGGATATAATAGTGAAAAATCTTGAATGCTAGAAAAATATTGTTTTAGATATATAAAAAAGGGAACTCGCTTGATTCCTGCCCAGTAAAAAGCAGAGAGCTGTGTGAGACCTGAGTCTGCTA